CCGGAGATGGTCTGCCGCCTCAAGCGCACCTTGTACGGGTTGCGCCAGGCGCCGCGTGCGTGGCACATGCGCCTAAAGGGGGAGCTCGGGAACTTCGAGTTCGTCGCGTCCATCGCGAACGCAGCGCTTTTCACGGGGATTGTAGCCGGGGAGCTGGTCTACCTCGGGTCGTGGGTGGACGACATCCTTGTGGCGGCCCGTGGAGCGGAGCGGATTGCGAAAGTGAAGGCGCACTTGGCGGAGAAGTTCGACGTGCGCAATCTGGGGGAGGCGACGTACTTCCTCGAAATGGAGCTGACGCGCGACAGGGAGGCGCGCACCCTGAAGCTAACGCAGAAGAAGCTGACGGGGGAGCTGGTCGGACGTTACGGACTGGCGGACGCGAGGGCGCGTAGCGTTCCTCTTGGAACGGGGGACAAGTTAACGAAGGAGGGTGAGGGGGTCGACACAAAGCGGTTTCCATGCAGCGAGTGTGTGAAGCCTGCTGTACCTCAGTGTACTGGTACGCACGAGGCCCGACATCGCACAGGCGGTGGGCGCGCTTACGCACTACATGGCGGGGCCGACAAAGGCGCACTGGCGGGCGGCGCTTGAAGTTGTGCACTATTTGGCGGGGATGGCAGAGGGCGGGGGGCCGAGCGAGGAGAATCTCGTCGATTATTGTGAAAAGGATTACGCGGGTGACGTGGACGCAAGGCCACAACGGGATACGTCTTCGTGATTTACGAGGGGGCGGTGAGCTGGTCGAGCAGGCTGCAGCCAACGGTGGCGGCCTCGACGTAGAGGCGGAGTACATGAGCGCAGCGCAAGCGGTGAAGGAGGCGTTGAGTTGGACTCGGGGGAGATCTTGAGTTGGACCTCGGAACGGTCCAGATCTACTGCGACAACCAAGGGGCGATCCGGCTCTTCAAGCATCGATCGCTTCGCAGCGGTTGAAGCACATCGACGTGATTCATCACTTTGCGCGAAAGTGGGTGGCGCCGAAGAAGGTCGGGTTCGCGTATTGCAAGACGGAAGACATGAAGGCGGACATTTTAACCAAGGCGTTGGCACCCGGAAAGTTTGCAAAATGTAGGAGAGAGATATGAATCGTGTAGGATACTTAATGCATGGGGGAGTGTTGAAGTTAGACGGAATATTAGGCAGGGGAATGCTTGCTTGCCTCAGGATGCAACAGGTGACGGCCCATATGAATCGAATGTGCCAAAGGTTTAAGGGCAGGGAATGCCCAAGTAAGCAACATAGCCCTATTGAGGCGTCAGTTTGGAGCGGCCGGGGGATAAATATCGCGCGCGCGCTCCCGTGCCCCGGCCGCGCCGCATCGACTGACGACTTGCTAAAACCCTGAACCCCTTGCGCTGACGCGACAGAGAGTCGGGCAAAGACGTCTTGCCCTTGCAAATAAGCTCCCACGTCAAGTCGCGTTTTGTTCAAGGCGAAAGTGTAACGGCGCTAGCTTTCCGAGCCCTTCGCGAATCCCCCGGTAGCTATACGCGCGCGGGTCGCGCGGACTTGTGTCATTAACGCGCAGTGCGACCGCGGGTTAAACCCCGAGCCAGATCCGCCGTCGGATGGCCGGATCCGGTTGAATTCAAAACGGACATACTGACTGAGTCTATGCATGTGCACGTACTGCAAGTCTGCGACTCATAATTGTCATGCCCGATGACATCGAGTGTGTTTTGCATCGAGTGCGCTGCGCCCCCGAGCGCGCGACCTGCATCTTCCGGCCCAAGCGCGGTTCAAGCCGCCGCGGCCCTTGTCCATCATGCGCGCTCTGAAGCGCCCTTAGCATATACCGTGCATCTCTTATAACGTCACGGCTCCTAGCGCCGCTGATATTGGCCGGTCAACGGCCTCGATTGCAAGTCTAGCACACGGTACGCACCGGTTCCTACCGGGTTGTGCCGAATCTTGCTAATATCTAGATACGATATCTATGCATAATAACCGTTGATGCCGCATCTGACGGCTCACGACTGGCAGCGCCTAGACATATGCGCGCCAGCATGTCGCCACGGCCCTTGCGGCCACACGGCGTTCCTTGCAGGTCTTTCGTAGTTGTAGCCTTCTTAGTATAACTCAGTGTTAGCGTTACGCTTCCTCTTCTTCCATGACATTCGACGACTTCTAGTTCGATAGCTTTGGATCGGTCCCCCGGGACCTCAGCGACGTTACGGCACTTTCCATACAGTATATAGCTTTTAGACTCAGTTCGTAGATAGCGTTACGTTTCACCAGTGACTTTCGTATAGCTCGTAGACATTCAGGACTTTCTGATTCCTCTCGCCATTCTTTGTGCGAGTGGTCGCACCATATGGACCACTTCGCCAGGCGCTTTCCTGCATAGCCAGCCAGCCTTTTTCATGGCTTCCGGTTCAGCAACCAGTCCGCGGCCACTTAGCACAGCAGAATCTTAATGTCCATTGCCTCCACGTCCCGTGCCCAGCCGAGAGCTTGCACATGTGCCGACGTCGCAAGCTCGCATG